TAGCTAAAGAAATATCTAATTTTTACATGTAGAGTCCTTGTTTTAGGTAAAAATATACATTTAAAAATTTGAATGAAAGATTATTTCTTATGTATTAAGGAAGTAAGTAATTTGGTCTATTCAGTATGATTTTTAGAAGTACAACTAGCATTTCAACTGTGATTTAATGTTTGAAAAAAAATAAACTGAGCGAACAGAATGAAAGGTGCATATTGGTAATATATAGTTCATATAATGCACAGAAAAGTTCATGCCAACATATTCTAATAAAGAAGGAGAGAGAGGCAGGCTGTCTAACAGACACAGAAAATGAAAGTGTAAGAATCAGATGGCTCAGATAACGACACATCCAGTTCATCCCGGGCTCCAGTGAAATGGTCAGTAAATGACATCACCGTGGCCACCACAAAGAACCCCAGGCCCTCCCTCTGAAAAACACTGTTCAAAGCCCCAAGGAAACCTAAGCAGCCTCTGTAATTTTTTTCCAGTTTATGAAAATTGGATTCCTATAAAAGAAAAATGGACCATTTTTACTGCAACAAAAACTGATTTGTAAAAGCTGGAAGCAGTTTAAAAATACTCAACATGAGGTTCTTGTTAGTCTTGAAAAGTAAGAGTTATAATAAAAAACGGTCCAAAAATATGGTACGGATACATGGTAAAAAGGGGGAGAAAGCTAGTCTTACTCCTATTATTTTTAATTAGCTTCAATAGCAAGTTCCACTTTTAACACCAGTTCAGATTTGGGGAGGGGAAGATTTACATCTGACCCTCTGGGATTGGCAACTCTGAAGCTAATGCCTTGAAGCCCTAATGCATTTTGCATTACCTCTAAATGCCGGGGAATTCTGGCGCCCAGAGGTTCAGACTGATAGTGAGGCATGTCTAAAGCCCAGGATTCGCTGTCCAACTGCCACATCTATTTTATCAGACATCCAATCTCCCTTATAAGATAGGATAGATGAGTTTACAGTTTTCAACATTTCCATTTACATGGCCTTGTTGTATTACAAAAATGCAGGCATTCAGAGTAAGCAGGACCCCTGGCTTGGATTTTAAGAAAAAGACTAATTTGAACTGTTCTCTAAATCTGGCTTAGTTTCTGCATTTTAACAGATATGTCCCTAGTACTAAATTTTGCCATTTTAGGAAGAAAGTGAAGGGTTTTTCTTTGAACAATTAAAAAAAGCTCTTATAAAAATTAGGAATGTATTCTTTCCCTCATAGGAACTTGGGATCATCAACTTGACCTGAATCCAGTGAAAAAGATACGTTAAAACCCCAAAGACAAAAAAGCCACGTTAAAGAGCACTGCCATATTGTTTCATGTTTAAAAACAATGACAATGTTTTAAAAATTTACATTTTATACATTAATTTTAAAAATATATTTTTAGTAATTTTAGAGAGGAAGGGAGAGGGGGAGAGAGAGAAACATTAATGATGAGAATTATTGATTGGCTGCCTCCTGCATGACTCCCACTGGGGATCAAGCCCACAACCTGGGCATGTGCCCTTGATTGGAATCAAACCTGGGACCCTTCAGTCCACAGGCCTATGCTCTATCCATTGAGCCAAACCGGCTAGGGCTATACATTAATTTATTATTATTTTTTCAGATAACTTGACAGTGCTTACTTATCAAAGATATATGAAAAGAGGGAAAGAATTCTTAAGTCATTTGAATAATTTTCCTGTTCAAAAAACAACTCAGAACATATAACATTTTCTCTTTTTAAAAAGTATTTAAAAATCAGCTTTTCCAATATTTAAAATTCAATCAAGACTTTTTTTTTTTTTTTTTCATAACTAACCCAAATTCTTCAAGTTGTCCATTAGGACTGCTTATTCTTCATCATAGCATCTTCTGCCCTAACCGGTTTGGCTCAGTGGATAGAGCGTCGGCTTGCCGACTGAAAGGTCCCAGGTTTGATTCCAGTCAAGGGCATGTACCTCGGTTGCAGGCACATCTCCTATAGGGGGTGTGCAGGATGCAGCTAATGGATGTTTCTTTCCCATCGATATTTCTAACTCTCTATCCCTCTCCCTTCCTCTCTGTAAAAAATCAGATTATATATATATATATTTTTAAGAGTTTAACATCTTCTGTTTATAGTTCTAAAAAAATGCTCCTATTTTGCTTAAAATAAAAATTTTCAAAAATAGTATTTTGAGTCAATGTTATTTTCATCTAATAGGCTTTAAATTTACCTATTGGATACCAGAAGATGAAAGGTAGCCATTAGTTTAAAATTTCACATCTGGGACATTTTGTGGCAAATTTTCATGCCAAAATATGTGAATAATTATGTAGCAATTTAAAATGCTTAAATCTTTGCAGAATTAAAAAATAAACCAGATAAGATCTATGGTTTGTTACTATCAAAGAAAAGCATAGAAATCCTATTAAAAGAGAATCCAAACCAATAAAAAATGATTGAATAAAAGCAAAGAGTAAATGATTCCAGAGTAGGAAATGCAGAAAAAAAAACAACCAAGTTTGGGCTACACTGTAGATTTTCTCTGTATCTCTGTCCCTTCTTATTTGATCTATTACCTAACCTGCCCCCCCCCAAACAAAAACAAAAACAAACTAAGGAAATTCATTGTAAATTATTTCTCCTGGAGATAAAAAAAGAAAACGATACAGTTACATGATTTAAAGCCTGAAAAATTACAAAAGACAGGAGATGAAAGACAACTTTTTTAGGGGAAGTTCTTTTTAAAGGGTAAATAATTCCCAAATCAAAATGATTGTAATAAATAAGTATATCACTCTTCTGATTTGAAAATAGTCTATATAGTAAGTTCTATGAACTAGTCATTGAAGCCAACATTACTCTGATGTGCCTTTTAGATAAAAAAGACACTACCTTAAATATTTTTACCTTTTAAAGGGACTGAAGGTACAAAGGTAAGAGAATTTTCCCAGTCATTTTTAAAGAGTTATTGACAGAATTAAGAAATAAAACCCTATTATCTTTAGACATAAGTGCATAATTTAGTCACTGAGTACAAACATATTTGTTTTATAAAATGACCATTTTGAAAACCAGATGAGAAATTTTGCTAAACTGAGCTCATAAGTTCATTGTTTTGTATTTTCAATTTTAATGAAAATGTTCAGATTCTTAAAAAACTGAAAGCAAATCTTTCTGGAGTAAATAATGCATAATTAGTATCCGTCTGTTTTCTGTAGACTGGGGATTGGCTGTGACTGAAGAAGATACAAAAATGTTTTCTTCACAATGAAACATAAATAGCAGAATTAATTTTGTAAATGTCATCAGTAAAAATCTCCCATATAAATATAGGATTAAAAACCCAAATAATTTCTTTCTTTTCCAATTATGTTTTAGAAAACATTTGTATAAGGAATTGCCCCATGATGGCGTATAGTAGTTATGATTAAACAGAGCCTCTATTTAAATGATTATAGCTAATATAGACAGAAACATCAGAAGTAATCAAAAGCCATATGCTTTCTGGTATGTAACCATGTTTAACTTTTATTTCCTAAGGCAAGGAGTTTCTTACCATGACATCCAGTACAACAATAAAACTATTTTGAAAGTGCTATTATTTATTTAAAGTCTGCTACAGAATACTGAACTACATAAAAGATATCATATTTCAAGTAATACTACATTTTCTACCATGCTTTTAAAACTCTGAGTCATGATCATCAATGAGTTGTGAAACCAATACAGTGGGTTGCAATGTGCATTTCAAACATGAAATAATAGAATAAAACAGAATTTATCATTGTGCATTATAAAGAGTAAAAGTAATTATTGTTTTAAGAAATTTTTGTTCTACATATATACAGGCATATACATATATATAAACAAATCTGTCTGTGTGCATTGGGTTGCAATATGAAAGGTATTTTTAATGGGGTTGTGGTAAAAACAAAACAAAAACCAAACCTAAATGCTTAGAAGTGACAATAGTATGCTGTTTCCTTCCAAATTAGGCATCATGTTTAAAAGAACATAATCTTTGGAAACATATAGACCTGAGTTCAAATTTTTTCAGTAATATCCTACTAGTGTGAGTTGGTTATTTAAATTCTTAGAGCCTTGATTTCTTCATCTGTAAAATGGCTATAACAATTCTTTTCTTAAAATATTACTAGGCAGATTAAAATAAATATGATGAATATTTGTAAAATAGATTATACATAATACATGATCAATAATAGTTGTAAATAATTACTATTAAATCAAATGGCTTATTATAAGTGACCAATAAGAGTTACAAAATATTAGTCATAATTGTATTCTTTCAATTAAATAATGCCTAAATATATTTTCCAAACAGAAAACAGTTCATGTTAATGAAAAGTACAAATCTATAAGAAAAAATTAAATAAATAATTTAAAGGAAAAATAGTCTTAACAGCAAGTAAAACTACACCTATTCGTGAGACTAATTTGATGTGAAATTTCAATAGTCAGTCTAAATTCAAATATTACACCACAAGAAATGATATGAAGGAGAAAATATTGTTTACACATTATGGTAAAATTTTATAAATCAATTGTAGAACAATACTGACATGTCAGTTTTTCCACTTAAATGTTTCATTTGCATGCCATCCAGAGAGGAGAAGTTTTTAATCAAAGTATCAACTTGCTAGAACAGTGATGTCTGAATAATTGGTAAAATACATGCATTGAATTCTCATTTTATTTTATATTTTATTAGCTTTGGAAAACAATCCTGGTTCATTAATTTGACAAAAGTACTGTCTCTTTCAATAGAAAGCCTGGATTTTGAAAATCAGCGATGAAGCATATATGTTTTTTAGATCTGTGATTTCCTTTTTTTTTTTTTTACATAGAAAATATGACTTCAGAAATTAATTTAAATTCAAGAAGCATAACCTTGAAAATACTGAGTATTTTTTCCTCTTTAAAGAACAAAAAATAGAAAAATGGGAAATGAAAAGAATTCTAGCTTTTAAAAACAAGGGATTTTCTTGGAAAGATTGTTTACCTGCCAGGAAATGAATGCTGCCCAACTACATCTCCATTCTGCAGGTGATAATCATTGAAGAAATCTGGACTTATGGCTCCTTCAGAGGCAATCAGTCCATCTATAAAAAAGGAAGATGGTAACTAGTAAAACATATTTGTAGGGAATAAAAAGGAAACCATTCTATCAAGCAACATAATAGCAAGTAACCTGCATATTTAATCTGGAAATAAAATGTTAGCATGACATGCTCTTCTCTTGGGAGTATGAACAGAAGACATACATACATGTGCACTTTTAAAACAATCCAGCACAAAGCTTGAACACTTATTGAGCATCTACTATAATACAAGGCAGTGCTATACTAGTGCAGAGGTGAGTAAGACAATCTCTGCCTTCAGGTGGCTCACAAAGACAGAAGAGGACAGGGGTGAGGAGAGGTAAGGGGGAACAGATAGGAAATAGAATGACTGAAGACAAGGAGACTTTAAATAGCACACTGTCAGTAAAGTGCAAAAGTTTGGTTAGTATGTCCTGCATTTTATACCCACACAGCTTCATTTGTGTAACATGATTAGGAAATTAGATGCTCAAATAAGTGAATTTCTAAATAAGCAATGCTTGACAAACCTTAAAACAACACACAAACTTGGGTTAGAAATCTTTGTAAATATATTTTACACCCCCTGAGGTTTTATTAAGTGTACAGAACATATTTAAGTGGCTCTCAATGACTCAATCTTCATTATACGCATCAATTATTACATAGCAAGCCCTAGAGATGATTAGATACATCTGCATGCCATCCAGGGAGGAGTTTTACTTTGACTCCTTACACTGAATGGCTCTACACTATTATGCTTTTTGAGTTATTTTCTGTTGATTAGAAAGTGCTTCTTTTCCTAAATCCAGGTCTGCATTATTACTTCTTACTAATTTTTGAGTCTATTTTCTTATTTGCTCCAAATAAAGATTCTAGATATTCTATTTCTGATAAGTTAAGGCTTTTATAATAACTATTTGGAAAGTTCTGAGAAGTTTCCTATTTTAAAAGTATTCTGGATTAAGTGACCTCCAGATAGATATTGGCTAGGTCACACTCACAACACTGTTTACAAATCTGGGACATGGTAAGTCAATTACTCAGACACCAGATGACCATTTTACTTATATTTGTAACAATATTTTCCTGGGTCCTGTGATCAATACAAAAATTATAATACATAATTTCTGTTTTCAAGATTCTTATGTTAAGTGAAATAAAGAACAAACACTTAAGATGCAATTAAATAATACATTTCATTGATAAATAACATACAGTGGGAATGGGTATATGTACCAAATGAGCGCTGGAGACAGAAAGCCTGCAGCAGATGGTGTGTCTGCAGGGTTTGGAGAATCCTACTTGTGGAAGGAAGCAGAGATGTGGGGAACGCCAAGATTCCATAAAGAGTTGAGCAGCTAAAAAAATTAACACTATATGGATCTAACACTTTGTGAAATGTGGCTAAAATTAACAAGGTTAAGGCCACAAAAATCAACAAGCTCCTCTGCTAAATGAAAACCAAACAATTGTGGATCAGAGTTCAAAAAAGCTGCCAATTTTAGAGGAACACAGCTAAGTAAAATGCCAAAATAAAATGTATACCACAGTTTGAAAATGAATGCAAAGATATCCAGCATGCCAGTAGAAGAAAAGATTCTACACTCAGAAATTCTTCAGATATAAATACACTAAATAAAAAATAACAGAATAATATTTTAAAAATTATTACATGAAACACGATCTAATGACATGAGCCAGATTAGGAGGAAACTAAATGTCAAAAGCGTCATTTTGATCAGAGATCCCATTGTCTTCAAAGGGAACAATGAGGAGCAAAAGGATAAATGGAACACAGAGCAGAACTATAAACCGGGAGCTCATCAGAGATCAAACTAAATATTTTCAGTTTAAAGATTCAACCAGAAATTTTATAAACCCAGAACACAACTAGTTTAACAATAAAAATAAGCCTGGTATCATGTGAGTAAAAAAGCAAATTTATATTTTTGAACTTATTTTTTAATACTTCTAGGATACTGCAGCTCATTCTGTGAACCACAGCTGCTACAGTGTGCTTCATAGCTTGACAAAAGTTAGGCAACTCTGATAGGTGAGCAATCTCTCTTCCCTAGAATTTATGTATAATTTAATAAAAGTTAAATTATACCTTAAATTAAAACCTCCATTCAAGCACCCCAACTTCTTCGGACCTGTCTGTTTCTCAGCATTCTGAATCCCAAAGTAATTGTTTTCTAGAAATACTACAGAGGAATCATTTATTCTTGATTACAAACTCCAGATAAATCTAGTAGTATTCTACTCTAACCTCATTTCTTGTTCAAGGAACCGAAGAATTCCATGTTCCATTTAAATAACCAGAGAACAAACGAAGACAGGTGACATACACCAGAGCACGTTGTAAGCTGCAGAGCATTATTTACATTTATGTTATTAAATTATCTGAGGCCTTTACACCATGGTTACATCCAACACACCTTCTGAGGTGTTCCGAGTAACGATGGTAAATATGCTTTAAGTAAAAGCAGTATGTACTGGAATAAGGGTGAATTCAAGGCAAATTGATTGTCAGCCCAGGTAATTTATCAGCCTTCTGACTTCTGAAAGTCAGTTAAAAAGCTGACGTATACACATTGTGAACAAAAGGAACAAATACAAAAACATTATCTTCTTATATATTGTTACTTAAATAAACTTCATTTTAAAAAGTCAAATGAAAACATAATATTGGGCTCTTTGGTCAACTAGCTAAAAGTGAAACTGTGATTGTGTGGGAGGAAAATAGATACCAATAATGGAGAAAATGAAAAAAAGAAATGACTCAGCTAGGTAAATCATAACTCACTTGGCTGTGTGTGGTAAGACACACCATAGAAACACATATGGAAATGAAAATGATAGTTTTACAATGATTCTGAGATAGAAGCAAACCATTTTAAGCTTCATATTCCCGAAAAGTCAAGTGCTAGGAATAAGATTCACAATTGATGAAGAAAAACAAAAAAGTAAAAAGTCATTTAGAAGTGCGTAGTGGTAGTAGTCCAGCTTTGCTGTAAGTGATAATATGCTTGCTCTGTTGGTAAATGTTTTAAAGCAAAGAGCATAATTTTCATGACAGAAAAGGAAGTTAGTCAGTGATTACAATCATAATAATTTTAGACTCTAAGGAAAAAATACTATAACTAAAAGAAATGCTAGATTCCTATTTTATATGACAACATTAAAATCCTTTAAAAAAAAAAAGAGAGAAACATATACATTTTGACATATTTAACAGTTTGAATATACAGAAGGCAATACTAATGACTACCAGGTAGCAAATGATATTTCATTTAAAGTAAAAGATAAAACCTAGGGAGTTATGGGCCCCTTAGCTTAACCTCTGTGGCTAAAAAGCTATTGACCCTGCTTTTATTGGAAAAAGCCTACAGTTTCATGGAGACCAGGGACTTAAGTAAGATGGCTTTCAAACCTGTAGTATTACAGATTTCTCTGAAGTTTCTGAAGATACAACCGCACAGCGAAAGGAAGCTGGCATTATCTAGGTTTCCCTGACACGCACCAAGAGATACCACAGAGATTCATTTAATAGATGAAGTACTCATAGAAAATGAACTAGGTAAAATATTAATACACTAATAAAATAGATGGCTTGAGATGAGAACTATATCTTTAAATTCACAGCAATGTAATCCCCACCATATCATCAGGGCACAGGTATTAAAAAACCACCATGAGTATATCTAATGATAATATTCCACCCCTCAAGTGCTTAAGTTTACTTTTTCATCAGTGGTGGCTGTTTCTAAATTTTGCTATAAATTTATTTAATTTAGATTTTGCACAAAAGCCTAAATTGTACATTTTAATTATAAGATATCTTACATAAAAACGTTTATGATTTTCATTTAAGAGGTTAATTTAAATAAATTTTTGGAAATGTGTTTTAACTTTAAAATTTTTTTTTATTTATTGTCTGAAGTTTTACATAGGTCTCCTTTTTCCCCAATTGACTCCCCCCTCCTAGCCATTCCCACCCCGGGCAAGGCCCCCACGGCCCCAGTGTTTGTGTCCATTGGTTATGCTAATATGCATGAGTGCAAGTCCCTTGGTTGCTCTCTAATCCCTCCAACTCCCCTACCATTTGTCTCTGGATCTATTCTTGTTCATCAAATCATGTTGATCATTATATCCCACATATGAGTAGATCATGTGATGTTGAAGGGGATAGATAAGACTTTTATTTAATTATAGCTAAGACTTCTCAGCAAACTGAATATTTTTTTCTTTAAAAAAATTTTTTTCCCTTTATCGATTAAGGTATTACATATGTGTCTTTATCCCTCCATTGCCCTCCGCCCCCAACTCCCGTTCATGCCCTCATCCCCTGGTGTCTATGTCCATTGGTTGTGCCTATATACATGCATACAAGTCCTTTGGTTGATCTCTGTGCTTTAACTTTTTAGAAATCTGTTCTAAAATTCTAACTGTATTAAAACAAAAAAGTTGAATACTGTGGTGGTTAAAAGTTTTATCTGGTTTGAAAACTATGATTCACACTGAAAAGTAGCTATCCATCTTCAAAGCAAGAAATCTGATTCCAAGAAATTCTGATTCCTATTAACAAAAAAATTCATATCATATATATTTTACATCATTTTACTTCATGAATATCTGAATATGTAAGGAACAGCTGCTTGCCATTACCAAACTAAGAAATTTCGGTTGGTTGAAATTAATGATCTACACCATCTGGTTTGAAACACAAAGGAGTATTTCATAACTACTGTAAAGTTCAGTTAGGAAGAAATCTATTTGATTTTCAAAGTAAAGTATCAATTTTCTAGGATTCAAATAACTATATGAAATATAAAAATAATGCAGTGTTTATGGGCAATTTGCACAATACACAATTATGAATACACATGAATCAATACATAGTAGGAAAAAGGTGAGCCACTAATTTAGATATAATTATTTTCATGCTTTTTATTTCTGACCTGCTACAGATCTTAATTAGAAATCCTTTCCTTCCACTCATCAACTAAATGACTTCAATGAAGTAATATTAATACTGGCAACTGTGAAACACATTTAAAAGCCAAAATATGGAAAAACTTACCAATCTTTGTGTCAAACTCATCCCTGGAAAAAGGCAGTATGGCAGAATCAACAAGGTTGTAACATATGTAAGATTTACCTTGAAAACACTAGCCGAGTTTAGAAGGAAAAAACTATTACTATAAAGTATCTACATCATCCCAACCAATAAGAGTCATCAAATAGTTTACTACTTTGAAAATAAAGAAAAACCATGGAAGAAGTAGAGTTTTAAAATGAAATACAGGGAAAACAAAACATAAGTTAGTAAGTTATACATTTAAATAAAGAAAGAAAAATACATATTATATTTTCAAACAGAAGTCATAAGTCTTGAAGTTGTCATTTTAAGTTACATATTCTAAAATGTAATCAATTAAGAGCAATTAATTTTCCTGGCCATGCCTTTTATATTGAGATCACATAATATAAAAGGAATTATTTTGGAAAAAAGAACAGTGAATTATTAGGTGAGTATTGAGGTTATGTCTGAAAATGATTAGCAGAAGAATTTATACTCTAAAAGAAGTGCTTACAAAGCTTGGGAATGAGCAAGGTTGGCAGATCAAACTAGCATGCAAACAACTGGTTACCACCTTACCTGAGCTGTAGAAAAGGTCAGGTCTTTCAAGAATATCTCCTTCATGGATGTAAGGTTCAATTCGATCATCACCATACAAATATTGCTCACTCTCATCCATCTGACGACTCTCTACCATTTCCAGCCACTGAGAGTTATGCCAGCGGAACTTTTCACTCTGAATTTTCTTAGCCCATTCTTCATCATATTCCTATCAAAAACAAATAGTCAATTATTACTACGTAAGCCTATGAAGGAACTTCTTTGACTCTCAGATAACAGTACTTTTATCTTGTGAGAATTTGGGGGAGGGGGAGAGGCGCTTTTGATTTGCGTCAGAGGAACATTTATAATACCTGTTCAGAATTATTTTATGTAATAATAAAAATCAATTCATACTTATATTAAATACATATCTGTTTGGATTACCAGTTGCTAATGGCAATGTCAAAAATTGGAAAATCTTAAATTTCACAAATTCTTTATCACTAGACCTAGGTAAGGAATCGGACTTTAGATTTCAAAGAGTTTTGTGGCTATACTTATTTGTAGCACTAATGACAGGTGGTGAAGCATTAAAATTACATCTTTTGTTATGTCTTTTTGTTTAGATAACAGTTTTCAGTAGAACAAAAAAGCACTAAAGTATTAAAGCAGTAGGGTATTTATCCTACTATTGAAATGGTTACTATGGAAATAAAATAATGTTATCTTATTTAGTCATAATTATGTCTTTATAATATGTCTAGCTCCTGCTTCAGCCATTAATTCCTAAGGAGTGAAACTACTTTATTCACTGCTGTACCTGTTCACAGAGAACATCTTTGGTGAATGTTTTGAAGGACAAAAGGCAAGTTATTATAAACTACAGCTGAAGTTAACTAGCTTCCAGCTCTTTCCACAGATTATGGTTACTTCTGATTAATGTATTCACTTAAAATTGGTGGCATAGATGGAAAAAAAAAGGATTCAAGTATTTCTTATCCTAATACTAGAATTCTTTGTTTTAAATTCCTCTGTTACCTCTTTGACACTTTTTTTTATAGTCATCTAAAAAGAAGTTAGAAAGGTGCCAGCTAACAGTACAGTCCTCCAATAGTCAACACAAATTATGATAACAGAGGAAGACCAAATATACATTTTAGTCAAATTATTGAGCAAATTTCATCCAAAATTGAGGCTTAAGTAAAAAACTGTCATCATAAAATGAATTTCTGGGATGTAAGAAAAATTTGAAATTTTATAACAAAAGTAATTATTATTTTAGTATTAATAATTTACCTATTAATTTTTTAAAAGTTTCACAGTATCACTAAATATTTTAGTGGTGTCAGCTTTCAGACTGTCACCTTTGAAAAAATAAATGCTCTTTTACAACTGAGGTCGTTGGAGGTAGGAGATATTCTGGGCTTTGGTACTGCTAATGGCAACTTGCCACTGAATTATTAAAATTTTCTCTAATAGTTTTTTAATAATAACCTTAATAGCTGTCAATTTATTTCCAAATATAATTATTTTAAATTAAATTATATAAAAGTAGAACTATGATAAACATTAATCATTACATTTTACTCTAAAACTAATAAACATTTAATTCATCTGTTATAATTTCAATACTAAAATCACTGAAGGAGATTTTTTATTCAGAGTTACATTTTCAATGCTAATCTGTATTTGAAATAGAGAATTTAGATATAAACAATACATCCTAAATTAAAATGCCATGACTTGTTGGCATGGTTACAATGATTAGATACAATCATTTAAACAATCATCTAAATTGTTGATCACATATAAGTTGCTCTGATAAAATGAGAAAATGCAGTTAAAGCATTTAGAAAACCTGTAAACCTATATAAAAAACACTTAATGTTCACCATTACTGTTAATTAATTGAAGTTATGGCTCTCTAAGTTGGGTACTATTCTTATTGCCATATTACAAATGAGAAAATGAGGCCCAGAACACTGAAGTAACTTTGGGCAGCATAAATGTTGAAAAGGCAGTTAAACAGAGAATAAAGGAACACTTGGCAGGGTCACTGTAGAGTGGATTCTTCAGTGAATACATATAATAAACGACTTCCAAGGTCAACACTCAGCTCTAAGATTTTTATGAAGGGGTCGAATTGTTGACCAAGCAAGTAGCTTCTGGTCTGGTAAGTATATTACACACTGTATTCTCAATCATGTTCTCTTGACCTGGCCACACATTGGAGAGTGTTAGGGAAAAAGGGAATTGAAAAAAAAAAAATAGCACAGAAATGTTACAAGTATAATAGTTTCATTGGCTACAAATTTTAGTAATCACTTTGGTTTTCCAAAATTAAATAAAATACTAAGTGGTGTTAATTATGCAATAATACTGTGATTAGCTTTAAAATAATTTAGCCCAAAAGCTAAATATAACTTTGCAGCTAACTTTGCCACATGTGGAACCAAAACAATATACTGTACTTTTGAAGTCATATACTTTGAAGAAATATTACTGTCATATTAATAGTGGCCAGATAATTTAAGAATGATCACATATATTCTTTTTTTTTAATATTTTTTATTGATTTTATACAGAGAGGAAGGGAGAGAGATAGAGAGTTAGAAACATCGATGAGAGAGTCATCGATTAGCTGCCTCTTGCACACCCCCTACTGGGGATATACCCGCAACCAAGGTACATGCCCTTGACCGGAATCGAACCCGGGACCCCTCAGTCCCCAAGCCAACGCTCTATCCACTGAGCCAAACCGGTCCCGGCAAAGAATGATCACATATATTCTTATAGAAGAAAAGGATGAACTTATTATCATTAAGGCAAAGAATTTAATGCGTAAACAAAAAGCAAAATGATATTTTGGGCAAGAAATTCTAACTGGCCTTTTTTTCTAAAAGATAAGTTAGTTACAAGTCACCAAAACTCCCAGAAGTTTTGGTATTATATGCCTTATAATATCAAAAATCCTATAAAATCTACATTAAATACTGGAACTAATTTAAGTGGTATTGTTTCTTTTATGGATACTAGCTTGTGTCATTTGGCAAGAGGTATAAAACTAACTTTTCATTTTGGTAGAAGAACTTAAAATCTGATTATCTGAATGAAGTATTCAAGGAAGATGATAGAAAAACACATAATTTGACCGTTTTATTATTATTTAAGTTCAAGCATTTGGATTTCTAGTGTAAGAACAGTAGTTAAAACCCAGTCAAGTGCCCTGGCCCTTGTGGCTCAGTGTTGGAGCATCAGCCTGGGCACTGAAGGATTGAGGGTTCAATTCCCCTTAAGGGTATGTAGGTTCATTCCCTGAACCCAGGAATGCCTTTAGAAGGCAACCAATTGATGTCTGTCTCTCTCTCTCTCTCTCTCTGTCTCTGTCTCTGTCTCTGTCTCTCTCACATTGATCTTTCTTTACTCTCTCTTTTGCTAAAAATAAATAAATAAATAAATAAATAAATAAATAAATAAATAAATGGAAAAAATATCCCCAGGTTAGTATTAACAACAAAAAAACCTCAGTCAAGAGCCCAAAGCCTATGAAATACAGGGTTTGCTATTCTATTAAGAGTAAAACTTGCCTGTTTACTAATAACTAAAATGTCAGAGGTAGGTATAATTCAAAAAGTAAATACTTAAATCACATATCTATAAAGTGTAGTCTAGTAAGTAATACTCTGCACATACATACACACAAATCCATGCTTATTCTAGGAATTATCCTACACCCTTCTCATAAAATTGTACTATTATAATTTAATAAGTGTAAAATTGTGTAACAAAGATGTTATTTTCTTCACAAATAGCCCTTCTAATTAAACCTTCTTATTGCATTTCAAGCTTACAGCAATGTTCTTAATGAACCTACACATGCATACATGAGTTTTCAAATAAAGACTACCTGCCCTCTATGCAAACACACAAACCAAAAATATCCATGAGCATCAGTGGCTAACATTTGATACAAAAGCATGACTGGTTAGTGACTTGGGCACAGACTTAGTACCACATATAATAGGCTAATCTGAATTCCTTTAAAGTTTTGTCTTCTTTCTTTTATCAGTTTGTGACTGAACTAGAGGCTCGATGCATGTATTTGGCACAGGTAGGGTCCCCCATCCTGGCCAGCGACTGAGGCGGATTGAGCTGTCTTGCCTAGTCCCGATAGGTGCCAGTTGGCTTCAGGGGATGGATTGCGGGAGGTTAGCTGTCTGGCTAGGGGGAGGGACTGCGGGAGGTTGGCTGTCCCGCTAGGGGGATGGACTGCGGGAGGTTGGCTGTCCGGCTAGGGGGAGGGACTGCAGGAGGTTGGCTGTCCGGCTAGGGGGAGGGACTGCGGGAGGTTGGCTGTCCGGCTAGGGGGAGGGACTGCGGGAGGTTGGCTGTCGGGCTAGGGGGAGGGACTGCGGGAGGTTGGCTGTGGGAGTGCACTGACCACCAGGGGGTAGCTCCTGCATTGAGCGTCTGCCCCCTGGTGGTTAGTGTGCGTTAGAGCTACCAGCAGGGTGTCCAGTTGTAAAGGTCACTTAGGCTTTTATATTTTACCTAATAACAGACGAACATGTAAATTGACCGTACCTCTGCTACTCCCACAGCCAATTACGAGTATACAAATTAACATGACAAAGATGGAGGGTTAATTTGCATATGCAGGTGCAGAGCAGCCTGGTGGGGAGGGATGCCTGCTATGAGGGAGGGGGGGGAGGCGGAGGGAGCTATAGGAGCAGTGCTCTGGCCAGGAGCTAGGAGTTGCTGGCTCCCGGGTGGCTGTGTGCGAAGCCAGGGGAAGGAAGGCTTGTAGTATATAAATATCGTGCAACAGGCCTCTAGTATATAGATAAACCCATAGAACCAGGGCATCTCAACATTATAGAACAAAACGATCGAGTAGCACTGATATAGATTGTAGTGTCATTTTCCTTATTAAAAATAACTTTATTTTGGTTTTAAGTGTTCTTGTACTGTAAAATCTTGGATCTGACTCTGTGACTAACAAGGTTAACAAGTGCATTACTGTTTACAGGATACACAATGAAAACATATGGTTGTTTCTTCAGCTTTTCAAACACAAAACAAAACAATCCCCTTCCCCAGCTTTTCCTTCAGTAAACATAAGACAGAATATGTTATTCTATGCCAAGCTGTGTGATCATTTAGCATATGGGAAATTACGTTTTGCGAAAGATGACTACAGACCCCTGCTATAATGAATCCACTACA